TTCTTCCTTCCTTCCTCCCTTCCTTCCTTCCTTCCTTCCTTCCGAGTTGGGTCTCACTCTGTCACCCAAGCTAGAGTGCAGTGGCATAATCACTGTTCACCATAGCCTCGACCTCCTGGGCTCAAGCAATCCTTCCACCTCAGCCCCCCAAGCAGCTGAGACTACAGGCATGCACCACCACACCCGGCTAATTTTTTTATTTTTCTTTTCTTTTTTATTTTTTGAGTTGGAGTCTCACACTGTCCCCCAGGCTGGAGTGCAGTGGCATGCTCACAGCTGCCGCAGCCTCGACCTGCTGGGCTCAGGTGATCCTTCTGCCTCAGCCTTCCATGTAGCTGGAACTACAAGCAGGTGCCACCATACCCAGCTAATGTTTTTTTTTTAATTTATTGTAGAGATGAGGCCTCACCAAGTTGCCCAGGCTGGTCTTGAACCCGTGGACTCAGGCAATCCTCTCACCTTGGCCTCCCAAAGTGCGGGGATTGTAGATGTGAGTCACCATGCCCAGCTGATTTTTTTTGTTGTTGTTTACAGAGATAAGGTCTTGCTATGTTGTTCAGTCTGATTTCAAACTCCTGGGCTCAAGAAATCCTCCTGCCTCGATCTCCCAAAGTGCTAGGATTACAGCCACGAGCCACTGCACCTGTCCCCTTAGCTCCTTCAAAATGTACTTTCTAAAACAAGAGGGTTTAAAGTAGAGAGTGTAAGTAGGGATAAAAAAAGCCTGCATGGGACCGGGCACAGTGGCTCACGCCTGTAAACCCAGCACTTTGGGAGGTGGAGGCGTGAGGATTATCTGAGCCCCGGGTTTCAAGACTAGCCTGGACAACTTGGCGAGACCTCATCTCTACAATAAATCAAAATATTAGCCTGGGCGTGGTGGCGCATGCCTGTGGTTCCAGTTACTTGGAAAGCTGAGGTGGAAGGATCGCCGGAGCCCAGCAGGTTGAGGCTGCGGTGGCCGGGAGCGTGCAGCTGCACTCTAGCCTGGGTGACAGAGTGAGACTCTGACTAAAAAAAAAAAAAAAAAAAAAAAAAAGGCCTGTTTGTTATTTCCTCCCCCATTATTGATCCTGAATTTAATGGTGGAGGAAAGAAGGAAAAGGCAACAACATAAGAGCTCAATAACTTCTCAATTACTCCATCATCTATAATAACAAAACATCACAAGTTTATAAAACTTTCCTGAATTAAAGGGCTATTTTACCCACATGGGCACTCATATAAAAAATGTGGAAATGATCTTGATGACGGCTGTGTTGGAATGTTCAATGTCAATTATGGGATCTGATGCAAAAGCAGAAGAATTTAAAATAATAACTGAGCCATTATTATAATCATATAAAAACTAAAAGGTTACACCCAAAAAGTGAAAGCACTTTCTTGGAATTTGGAAGTTGAGGGCGATTTAAAATTTAAAAAAATAATAATATCTAGTTTTTCATTGTTTTTTTTTTTTTTTTTTGTCTACTATTTTTTTCTTTCCTTTTCTTTTCTTTTTTTGAGTTGGAGGCTTACTCTTTTGCCCAGACTGGAGTGCAGTGGCCGCTCCCAGCCACCGCAGCCTCGCCTGCTGGGCTCCGGCAATCCTTCTGCCCCAGCCTTCCAAGTAGCTGGAACTAC